TAGCAGAACGAGACTCAGGACAAGCGGCCATTTGCTTCGACCCACTGGGTTTGAGAGGACAGGAAGGAGGAACAGATACACAATGGCAGGTCCAGGATGAAGATCTTCAGGTTTTTCTCTAGGAGGATCAGTATTTTAAGAAACAATAATTACAAATTCAAACTATTCATTTATATGCATTTGTAACTTTTCATTTGATGAAATTAGGTCATTTTGTTCTCCAGTAGTCTAGAGTTATAGCATCATAGAATAAGAAATAGGTCAGGAAACCAAACCACTAACTAACTATGGGATTTATCAAAAAGGAAAGTCTTGAGCCCAGTCTTAAAACTGGACAATGTGTCAGCCTTAGAGAAAGAAACTGGACGTTAGTTCCACAAGAGGAGGAGCCTGATAACTGAAAGATCTTCCTCCCATTCTGCTTTTGAAAAAACATGGAACCGCAAGTAAGCCTGCAGTCAGAGAGCAAAATGCTCTGTTAGGAAAATATGGAACAATAAGATGTGGATTATCTGAATCTGACTCCCTGGCTGGCCTCAAAACAGGCCAACTTATCAATTTCTCCTGGGAAATGTGTAAACTAAGGAAAATCTTTGTCTATCGCACCCCCCCCCCCCCCCCCAACTTCTGTGGAGGTTTATCAGAACTGTGCCAGCTGACCTTCATCTTATCAGGACCATGGACTATCTGTTAGTGCTTCATGGACGGCCTTGTCGTCATGCATATGTAACGTGTTCATAAATGTGCTGCTGGCAGAGTTTTTGATGTCGTAAATTGTGTATATTTTTTTGTAATGTCACCACCCTCTCCTCATGGCTTTGTCCCTTTTTCTATCTAAAAAATGTTTTCTGAAAAGAATAAGAAGGCCACGCTATCATAGCCGCAGCTACGTGCACTCCGCCCATCTTTTGGACGACTGTACGGACATATTCTCATTGTATTTTGGTGCAGTGATAATAAAGCTTATTCTGATTCTGAGCTATAATATAAGATGGAGCCAGGTTGTTGAGGGCTTTGTAGGTTAGAAGTAAGATTTTGAATTTAATTCTGGACTTAACAGGGAGCCAGTGGAGAGAAGCTAAAACTGGAGAGATATGATCTCTCCCTCTAACTCCAGTTAAGACTCTGGCAGCTGCATTTTGGATCAACTGAAGACTTTTTAAAGAAGTATGTGGACATCCAGATAATAAACCATTGCAATAGTCCAGTCTAGACATGACAAATGCATGGACCAGTTATTCTGCATCATTTTTAGATAAGATGTTTCTAATTTTAGCGATATTACGCAGGTGAATGAACGCGGTTCTAGTAATGTTTTTAATGTGGGAGTTCATGCCACAGTTTTAAACTAAAGCCCAATTTGCACAGGATTAGTTTTACCTACGGAGCACATGTAATAAATCAATTACTCCCCAACGTCTGCTTTTTATGTGGCACATTCGCACAGGATAACCAAAGCCTGAGATTTAGCTGAAATTTACGCACATCTTCAAGATATGACGTTAACGTGCTGCGTATTGTGTAACATCCGCTTGTTTTATTTATTTATTTATTTTGTTTGTTTGTTTGTTTCATCTGCTTTTGTTGGTTGGGGACACAACAGGTTATTTATGCACTCCAATGCAGCCAATGCCAAATAAAAATGCACCCAGGAAACAAAAAACAACTAGTTACATATCGGATCCCACCCAATTCTGTCCAGTCACAGAGATGCCTTTGTGCATTGGATTAGTATTATAACTGAGCCTTGGAGTTCAGCAAATATAACAGGTAATTTGCAGGGGAATTTTTACTTTGCAAATCACTGACATTGTCGATTCGCACGAGATTAATAACACAGATAATCTCCGTAATTATTACAAATAGCATATGGTCCCTAGGTAAAACTAATCCCATGCGAATAGAGTTTAAGATTATCTTTTGATCTTTTGTTGAGAAATAATGGAGTTTTTAGATGTGGCCAAATCTTGAAAATAATTGTGCAGGAACTCACTAAATTTTGCTAAATCCTTCATTACTCCATTATGTGTTTACATTTACAGCAGACAAACTGGACTGGCCCCGACAGTTAACGCCAACGTTTTTGGCAAAGATCTTGCACAGAGTATGAGCTGAGGTTGTCTCGCAGCTGCTACCACAACAAATTTTAGCTCAGTATCTGTAAAAAATAATTGCTTTTTAAGCCATTTATGTGTTAACTACAATCAGTTAGCTGTAGAGGCCATGTTGAAATGAGTTGACTTCAAATGTTGGTCATTTATTGTAATTAAATGTGTAAAGGAGTTGTTGGGATATTTATACCACACCAAACGCTTGCTCAATATTTGTTAAATTGACTGATATACAGCAATGTTTGATTTAAGTTTAATAAGCTGTGGCGCCATCTTGAATTTGTTTGACGTTTGCAGATATACATCCCATGATTACTTTCTGAGAGTTTCCCTGAAATCTGTCTCATGATTGGTTAAATGCACACAAACAATAAGATCATCATATTAATAATAATCATTACTAGTATAGGCCAACCTGATACTTTTGTTTTGGACAACATAAATTCTGTTAGAGCATTTAATTTGGGGTCTGCCTTGAAAGGAAGCCACCTATTATTAACCACCTGAAAAGGGTCTTGCTCTTCTATCAACTTTAATGAGTCCCGAACTGCCATGTGTACCTCCACAAATGTTATATCAAAAAGACCAGCTCGGCACCATGTTGTGTGCTATTACTTGTATTGGCATTTAGAGTGACCTTGATAACATATTTTGCAAACAAAGACACCATTTTTCTCATTGACAAACACTGACAGAACTCGTAACAACCTCTAACTGCCACAGTGAGGTCACATGACCAAGAGTGGAGAGGTCCCTGAACAAATTATTAACTTTTGGAGCCATTTTTGTTCAAGATGGCTGCCACAGCTACCTCAAAAAACTCAAAATTGACTATAACTCAGTCAATATTTGAGATATGATGTTGAAATTTTGTATGGATATGGTTGTGGCTGAGAGCAATATGTTTTGCTATCCTAATGCAAATTTAAAATGCAAAATGGCCACCTTAGCTAAAAAGGAAAAAATATGATAACTATTTTAAAAGATAAAGAGCTGAAATTTGGCATGGTGGTAGCTGACAGTGATGCACAACACATTCTGAATTCAAAGGTTAAAGATGCAAGATGGCCACCAAAGCTAATTTAAAATGAATATATCGTAGTCCCTCGCTATTTTGCGGCTCGTTTATCGCAGACTTGCTCTATTGTGGTTTTTCAAAATAAGATTGGACATGATACACAATTGGCTGATTGATGGATGAGCCACTGAATCGGCATGAAATTTTACTTAAAATAAATGATTTTAAATTATTTAGCACCTGATGTAAATTTGTGCAGCCCAGAGCTGCAGGATAAACTTCCTGCTGCAGCTGATCAGCTGTTCTCCATGGAGTGAAGTGCGTGTGGCCAAGAATGCTTGCAGGTGGCAAAGAGCAGAGGAGGCAGGGAGCTGAAATCATGACATTCTGTGCTCTTGTAGAGCGTTTAGCGTTGAGAAACATTCTTTACAATATTGCAAGAGTGTGGGAAGGGTTACGAGCACTAGAGGATGCTTGTTTGCCATTTCCATAAACATTTACCTCAAACAGTCAAACATGACGTTAATGTATGTGTATTATCAGCAGCTACGGGGTCTCATTCCATTTCTATGCTGATGATACTCAGCTGTATCTTAAGCTGGGTAGCAATGTGTCTGAGACCCCATCTACATCATCTTCAGCTTTTTCATCTTCGAAATATTGCAAAAAGCTTCAGTCTACACTGTCCTTCACTGTTGCAGAAAAGCTTGTCAATGCCTTTGTCTTCTCCAGACTGGACTACTGCAATGCACTTCTCTTCGGGATTCCTGGCAAGAACATACAAAAACTACAGTATGTCCCGAACAGCGCTGCCAGGGTCCTGATGAGAGTGTGTAAGCATGAGCCCATCACCCCTGTACTCTGTTCACTTCACTGGCTTCCTGTTTCTGCCCAGATCACTTACAAAATGTATCTTCTCACCTTCCAGTGCTTGTACAGTAATGCACCATCTTATTTAAAAGAACTTCTCACCCCTCATTGTCCTTCACGCATTCTCCGCTCTTCCAACACCCATCTTCTATATTATGAATAAAATATTGACATTTTCCATCTCCACATCATTGCATTCAGTTTTTATTCACAATTTGTTTAGTGTCCCAACATTTTTGGAATCTGGTTTGTACATTTAAATGGCTTTAACTCAGTTATTTTTTATATACAGAGCTGAAATTTGACGTGGTTATAGCTGAGAACGTTCCCCATCACATACTGAATCCAAATTAAAAAATCCAAGATGGCCACCACAGCTTAAATGAACAAAATGACTATAACTCATTGATTTGCAGCCATTTGAGTTGAAATTTGATGTAGTCGTACCTGAGAGAACCCAAACACATAGTACTGTCAAATCAAAACTTAGAAATGGCTGCAACGTGGCAGTCCCTGTCAGAGTTTCTCCTGGAACCTTCTAGTTTGTTTTATAAAGTGCCTCAGTGTGTATGATGTTAAGATGCACATATAACGCAGATCTACACCACTTTCCTTCATAGTTCTAGAGGTTTGTAGCTCTTCACGTGTCACTTTACAAGATCAAAGTACCGTGCACAACGGTTGGGGTAAAGGTACGAGGCACCTCGTTGGGTTATGATGACAGGCACAAATCAAAAGACTTGCAGTAACGGGACATGACACGACTTGGCGTTTTGTCTGTGCGTCAGTAAAACTAACTGCCGAGTCCTTCTCTGTGAGTCACCTGAACTCTTCCTCATATCCAGGATGAATGACTGTGTGTCAGAATTTTAATTCTTAACTAAACTCTGAATCACTGAGCGCACCTTCAGACGTGGAGCAGGACTTTCCAGTGCAGCGATGGCTTATGTCGAGTAATGCAGCGTGCTGATGCTACTCTGTTGATGTTTTATTTCTTTCAGGAGAAGAGCTCCGAGGAAGAATCACAGTGCGGAAAAACAAAAAGGACCCACGCTCGCTGGTTGTCACCCTTGACCTCGGAGACAGGAAACAAACATATTGCCTGCAGTGATGTCAGCAATGACATGACACATGCAACAATGCAACAGCCATCTTTTTTTTTTTTACTGTTCTAAAATGTGAAGGCAGGACAGAATAAAGATCTCACTAGTAATTATTTCAGTCTTGTGTACTCTTTTTAATAGCTAATAAAGTATAGACTGGATGTTGTAGCGAGTTAGTTTATTTGAAAAAAACATAATTCTGTTATTTTTTATACATTTCCGCAAGATTTATTTATTTTTTATTGTATACTATACCACTTTATTTATAAAGCATTTAAAACAGCAACAAGGCTGACCAAAGTGCTGTACAGCAGAAACAAACAAGCAAAAGACACAGGATAAAATACATAATTCCAAATAGGTAAAGATAATAACTAAATTACTAACATTATAGAATACAGACAGGTTAAAATCATTCATTCAACCTTTAATTAGACACCTCACACTGTGTCAAAAGCTGGGAATAAACGTGTCTTTGTGAACGTGACTTCAAAACAGTAGGCAAGGGGGCCTGCCTGACATGTACTGGTAACTCATTCCATAGTTTTGGACCTGCAGCAGAGAAGGCCCTGTCACCGCTGAGCTTAAAACTAGTTCCTGGAACCAATAGAAGCATCTGGTCTGCTGACCTCAGCGAGCGCTGTGGGACATATGGCTGCAGCAGATCAGTGAGATAAGAGGGGACAGAACTGTTCAGAGATTTAAAAACATACAGAAGTATTTTTAAATTAATTTGAAAGTGAACCAGGAGCCAGTGAAGGGAGGCCAGAACTGGTGTAATGTGCTGCCTTTTGCCTGTACCAGTTAAAAATCAAGCTGCAGCATTTTGGACCAGTTCTAAACATGCAATGAGGGTCTGACTGATTCCAAAAAGAAGCACATTTCAGTAATCAAGCCTGGATGTTATGAAAGCATGTACTGTATTACTGTCTCAAGGTTACTTTTGGACAGTATGGGCTTCAGCATAGACAGGCACCTCAACTGGAAAAAACAGGATATAACAATCGTGTTTACATGACTGTTTAGTTTCATGGAAGGGTCCATTTTCACTCCCAGATTAGTGACAGCTTGTTTCTATAATGAGGCTAGAGAGGAGAGGTCAATACCGTGGTTCTTGATTGTGCCATTAGGTGGAAACAACAACTTATGTCTTAAAGACAGCAAGTCCCTGATGTCATCCAGGCAGTCAAGAAGAGGTTGAATACAATGTGCACCACTGTGCTTCAGAGGGAAGTAAATTTGACACCCAGTGACGTAAAAATGTAAAGATATGCAGTGTTTATGAAAAATAGCACCTAGTGGCAGCAGGTATAAAGTAAAGGGAAGAGGACCGAGAGTGGACCCCTGTGATACCCCCACCAAAGAGCTGCCGATGTTGAAATAAAATCGATGTTGACACAAAAGATTTTGTCGAAGAGGTAGGAACTAAACCATTTGAGGGCCGACCCTGTGATGCCCACCCCCTGCTCCAGCCTAGAAATAAGGATCTCGTAGTCAATGGTGTATAGGTTGAGGAAGACCAAATTTAACAATAATAATTAAAAAAACTAACAATACACTGTTGTCTAAAAAAGTTAAATCTGGTCCTCTGGACATTAAAAAAAAAAAAAAAAAGAAAAGCAAAACAACAAAAAATGTAGAAATGTTTCGTCTCTCATCCGAGAGACTTCCTCAGTCTGAGGTGCTGTATTCAGCTCAGTCTCTTAAATAGCACCTTCTCAGAGTGGATCAACCAGTTTTGCTGCTGAAATACACTGTTGTTATTTTGTTATAGCACAACTGAAGCAGTGTGTGACAACTAAATGCACCACTTCTGTTGGAGTTAACAGAAAAGTAGCAGCCAGGTTCTGATCATCAAATCATTGATCTTTGATCATCAGTAACTGTCAGCTGCTCTATAAAAAACAAGTTTTGTTATTTTGCTGTTTAGGAGCATACGTGCGTTACAATGCCAGAGTGGAAAGATGTCAGCAATTACCTTAGAGAAGCAACTGTTGCTGTCCATCAGTCTGGAAAGGGTTAAAGGCAACTTCTTACCTATTTTAAAGGCCAACAATCTTCATTTATAAAGGTTGTGTGCAAGTGAAAAAGATTCAAGATGGCTGACAGTTTTCTAAGTAGTGGACATCTTAAGGATGTTCAGGTCAGACCGCACAATGCACAGAGAAATAAAGAGCTTTTAGTCTCTGACCTCATCGTTTAAAGGTTCAAGTTCTTTACAGAAATATTAGGAAAAAAGAACAAGTATGGCTTGATTTGAAAAGGTTTGTGGCGGTATAGTTTAAGTTCTCAGAGTTACTTTTGAACAAATTGTAAGACTTTTGAAACAACCTCTTGAACAAACATGATCAGGTGAGATGATAACCTGAGCAGTTCAAACAAAATGACTAAGATAAAACAGTTATTGGGATCAAATGTACTTCAAGGAGGCTGCACATAAATACTGCTGCTTCTTAACCTGCAGCATGATTCACATCTGTTAGCATTTCATCGAAATAGTTCAACAAGGAAGTATGGAGTCGTCTAAGAAGCGGCTTCTGTTTTATATAAAAAAGATACGGTGCTGTTGCTGAGTATTTTGCTCTGATTGTCCTACATTGAGCTGCCTCATCCATCTTCCACATGTTTTCTAGGACAATGCAAAAAGTTATTTTAGCTTTAAAAAGGCTGACTGAGGCCTCACATACTTCACTGAGCAGCTCTGCTTACAATGAAACTTGTTTTAGCTTTTCAGAGATGATGAATCCTGAGGGGGGGGGGGGGGGGGCAGACTATAGGACTGGCTTCCAATCTGATGTATCTCAGCCATTTCTGTATGTTCTAGATTTAATATTATGTGGTCAACTTAAGGCCTGAGGCCCAAAAGTGGCCTTTGAACAATCTCCATCAGGCCACTAATGTCCTTAGTTAAATACAAACAACTTTTAAAAATAAAGATTGATTAAAAAATATAGTAATTTATCAACAAGACTTAAGTAAATTTAGATTAAATATTTTAAGCAAAACTTTATTAAAAACATTTTTTGCCCCTGTGGATACGTCCTTCAGCAAGTACAAGAAGGATGTGATTGCTTTTTGCTCTCTTCTGGCCAGAAGACTGGTTTTGTGCAGATGGAAGGACCCACACCCCCGGCATATGAACACTGGATAGGAAGTCATGTATCATATCCATCTGGAAAAAATCAGATATACCCTGAAAAGATCTGGAAAAAGGTTTTGGGACACCTGGCAGCCGTTTGTGTTGTTTGTAGAAAACATGTCAATGCCTGTCTAAAGACATTTGTGGCTGATCCAGGGAGGGGGTTTTGTTCTGTGTCCTCTTTAGTGTGTGTGTTTGTGTTCAAAAATAAAATAAAAAGACGTCATTTTTGATGGAAACACAACTATATAAATTTGTTTTGCATAATTCTGCTAACATGTATAACATGTTAAGCTAACCTGTTTAATACATATATGGTCACAAGAGCCAGTTTACACATTGTATTATATTCCTAAATGATTTTGTAAACACATGTTTTATAAAACGTTCTAAATATGCTACAACAAGAAAAGCCTGAAAAAGGTTTTCTAGATTGTTATAAAGAAAATTAATTTTTAAATTCTCTATGTGGCCCTTTGGAAAATGATGGTGCCCACCTCTGCACTGACACCTGCTGTGCTCAGATACAACGCTGACTTGGCAGAAAGGCAAACTTATTATTATTAAACCAAATGTTTAAAATGACATTTCAAACAAATTCTCAATGAGACTAAACCTGGCTTTGTTTTAGGTCTGTTAGGGTTCACAAAATGATTTATATTTCTTAAATGTCCAAATATTGAGACAAGTTTACAGACACCAAGATGGATTTCCCATAAACAGTTTGAGACAGCCACCGTGATGATGTCATGGCTTTGGAAACTGTTGAAAGGTTTAGCTGACAACCTAGCCAGGTTAAGTCGGGTCCTCTGGACGGATTCTTCTTCTACCTGGATTATTGAGCATCCATCATTACGAGCTGACAACATTTGGTGAATTGGAGTGAGTTGGAGGCACTCAGATTATTTTTGTGACCTCTTAGGGAAACCGAAAGAAATGAGCCAAAATATCAGGAAGAGAACTGCTGACCTCCACATCTTTGATTCATCCTTGGGTACAATTTTCAGACCTGAAGGTCCCACATACATCTGTTCAAACAATCATACATACATGGACACGTCCTGCCGCCCTGACACTCAGGAAGGAGACAAGTTTTCTGGTTCTGAGATGAAGAACTGAAAGAAAAGTGGACGATAAAGATGCTGATGCTGGACAGAGGCTCATTATCCACAGTGAAGCAAGTCCTGTACTGACATGGGCCGAGTCATTGTTGATTTACTTAGTTTACAAACGCACAGAGACAAACACCTTGATTTTTGGAGACATGTCCTGTGGTCTGATGTCCATAAGGACCATTTGGAGGAAAAAAAGCTGGAAGCTTGCAAGCCTAAGAACACAATCCCAACACGTGATGTGGTGATGAGGGATCAGCACGAGTGAGACGTGCATGAGACGGGGGTTTGCAGGCGTGACTAGTGCACGTCACAAAACGACATGATGAGAAAAGAATGTGTGGAATTATTGGAGCAACGAATCAAGACATCAGCAAGGAAATTAAAACTTGGGTCCAAATGGACACTGACCTTGAACATGCAGAGGAATTAGCTGCAGAGTGTCTGAAGGACAACAGTCGATGTTTGGAGTGGCCATCACGAAACCTTGAACTCAGCTTGATCTGAGATGTGTGGGCAGAACTGAAAAGGGATGTGAGCTGACTCAGGCAGCAAACTGTTGTGAGAAGCTTGTGGAAGGAACTCCTGGAACATTTGGCCCAAGTCATCTGCTTTAAAGACAAAGCTACCAAATACTAAAAACTTCAGAAGAACTTAATAAAATGTAAATTATCGGGGGCTACCAGCATCTATTATTATCCACCTGAAAAGGGTCTTGCTCTTCCTTCAACTTTAGTGCAGCCTGAACTAAGTGTCCCTCCACAAAAGTTATATCAAAACGACCGGCTCGCCCCGTCATGTGTGTTATTACTTTTATTGGCATTTGGAGTTACCATGGCGATGTAATTAACAAACAAAGATGCCATTTTTCTCATTGAGAAACAGAATTAACAGCCTCTAACTGTCACCGTGAGGTCATATGACCTAGAGTGGAGAGGTCTCTGAACAACTGATTAACTTTTGGAGCCATTGTGATTCAAGATGGCTGCCACAGCTACCTCAGAAAACTCTAAAACTGACTATAACTCAGTCGATATTAGAGATATTGTGCTGAAATTTAGTATGGTCATAGCTGAGAGCGGGTTGTTATACATTCTTTATGCAAAATCAAATATCCAAGATGGCCACCTTAACTAAAAAGGAACAAATATGATAATTCAGCTATTTGAAGATACAGAGCTGAAATTTGGTGTGGTGGTAGCTGACAGTGATGCTCAACACATTCTGAAGTCAGAGGTAAAAATGCAAGATGGCCACCAAAGCTAATTTCCAATGGCTATAACTCTGAGGTTTTTAGAGCTATTTTGCTGAAATTCGGTGTACTGGCAGCTGAGAAGAATCACTAACAGATCTGATTGCAAATCAAAAATCCAAGATGGCCGCCTGAGCTGAAAAGGAAAAATACTGTAAATTGGCTATTCTTAGAAATATTAGGCTGAAGGTTGGTGTGTTTGAAGCTGAGAGCAACACCATAAATATTAATTCAAATAAAAAAATCCAAGATGGCAACCAACGCTACATTTAAATGGCTTTAACGCAGACATTTTTTACACATATAGAGCTGAAGTTTGGTTAAAGAACGTTCCCCATCACATTCAGATCATCAGATTCAAATTTTAAAAATCCACGATGGCCACCACAGCTTAAAGGAAGAAAATGACTAAGTCATTGATTTTTAGCCATTTGAGCTGAACTTGGGTGTGGTAGTAGCTGAGAGTGAACCCAAACACACAGTACTGTCAATCATAATTTAAACATGGCTGCAACATGCAGTCAGTCCATGTCAGAGTTTCTGGAGGAACTTTTGAGGCTCGTTCAAGTGTTTAAAAGGTTTAAATACTTTAGGGTTCCTAACAGACCTAAAACTAAAAATGTGAACTCTGATTTATTCTCAGACAAAAAAAAAAAAAAAAAAAGTGTAGTCATTTTTAAAACAATATGTAAATATTTGGTTTTAATCATAAATGTATCAAATCGTTTGAAACAAAACAGTTGTCGTTATATTTTGACTGGATGATGAACTTTTAAGATGCACCAATAGTTTTCTTGTTTAAACATTTTTTTTTAAATGTTCTCTAAAGCTGCTGCTGCTGACAGCTATTCATAATCTCATCAGATTATTTTTTTTAAAACAAATTAATCCAGTCATTTATTATAATTGAGTGCCACTAAATTATATACAATGTAAAAAAAAAAAAAAAAATCCATTATGTTTATTTAAACCGCTAACTTTACATTTGAAAGTATAATCAGTTAAATGAAGAGGAAAATAATCTAAAAGTTAAATAAAACTGTCTTCAGCTGTTTGCACCACTGAAGTAATTCATATTTTGGAAGCACTTGGGGACATGTTGAGGGCTGCTTCCTTTGCAGCAGCAGAAATGATTCACAAACTTGAAGGTGTGAAGGTTCTGTCAGGGCTGAGGGTGAGGAGGAGGATGATGATGATGATAATGGAGGTGTGTGCCTCTGGATGACCTCCTCCGCAGAATCACTGCCTTCCAGGCGCGTGAAATGGATGCGGCTCCTTATCACTCAGGCGACAGTGGAGTGATCAATTAACTGCACCAGCTTGTGTAATTAACCAGCTCTGGGACCCCCCCCCCCCCCCCCGCCCCCACGAGGCTCATAGCGCGCGAGAACTTGATCAGGTTTTCTTGCTAAATGCACAAACCCTACTTGAATCCAAGGACTGGACTGTAACAAGCAGTTTTATCTGCATCAGACCGAGTTCAGGCTGCAGAACCCTCTACTGCTGCTGCAGGGCCGGTGGAGAACCAGAACCAGAACCAGAACCCCGGACCGGCTGCGTCTCAGTCTGTGCGCGCACTGATCTCTGGGAGAGCAGCAGAAATCAATTACAATTATTCTCTGTTGACAATGTAATTAAACTCTAGGCTGCGGCTAATATCCTCCCGCTGCTGCCTCTTATCTGGAGCGGGCGGAGATTTACAGGCGGAAGGAGCGCAGCGCGCATAATAAGTGAAGGGGCCCGCGCGCACGGGACTCTGCCTGTTCCCAAACCCAGACCCCCTCAGCTGGCCTAAGTCCGATATGGACAATGTGGGTAAATACTTGAACAAAGCTGTGGAAAATACCCACGGACCTTTAGGCCTAACACATTTTGGGCTATTTAAAGTGATGGCTGCCTGATTATTAACAATAACCTGAACGACAACTTGTTCTTTGTCCTTCTTAACATTAAGACTCTCAGCTTTTCTGCCTGTAAAATGGTCACATTTATAGTTTAAGAACCCAGGATAGTGATAAGTAGCTAACAGCACGCAGGCACGTGGGCTTATAATTTAATAAAGAAAAGAAATAGGCAGAGTGGCACAAGAAACTAAAACAGAACACTGACAAGGACTGAGAGACAGGCAAAGTGATTACTGAGTGAGAACAGCTGAGAAGACTGCTGATGAATGAGTGTGTGTGTGTGTGTTGGGGGAGGGGGGGCATGTTTACCTGTTTGTTGTTACTTTTTTCATGATCTTTTCTGATAGTCATGGAGTAAAGTCTGCATGATGGTGGAACATCATTTGGGGGGTTATGGGTTGGAGGAAAAACTATGAATTCAGTTTAAGTTATGGTAATGCATGTACATGTACTGGTCATGGTTGTGTTCAGGGTTGAGCTTCATAAGTGACAGGAAGTCAGTACAATGTCCTAACAAATATAGAAATGTAATGTGACAGGTCAAATATGGAGCTAAGGAGAATTATGTCCATTGAAGAGAAAAACAAACAAACAAAAAACTAAAATCGTCAAACAAAACATGCAACATGAGGTTCATGCAGGAAAAAATTATACTGTACACACACACACACACACACACACACACACACACACACACACACACACACAATTTTCATAGTTTTCAAAGA